TGCTCGTCTGCAAACTTACCAGCATCGCGCACAACCGCCACTGTCGGACAAAAATTGCGAAGGTTGGAATTTTCCGAAACACTCTCCAAACTGCGCCCACGCGCGCCTGATCGCAAATTCAAATCTTGGCTGAATAAAGTGTGCACGCGTAGATGCGTGGGCCCTTCGAAGAGTACGTATCAAGTCTACGCAACCTCTCCAAATATCCATTGGTAACCTCTACTGCCTACAGTCCACTAGCTATCAGCGATGCTCTAGGGGGAAAATGGACTCAGGGGAGATAGAAAAGAGGGTCTAAATGAGACACTGGGCATCATGTTACAAAGACTACCTTAACTGCGGAGGGTAACTCATAGTCGTGACGCAGGAGCATGTTCCTATGGCAATGCCCCGGTTAATGTATATCACAATGATACTGTTTTCTGTCTACGGCAAACCCTAACTTCAGGTAATAGAGGCATTACACAATCCCCCTTTTTTTTACAAGTAATACGACAGCGCTGAGTAGATTAAAAATAAGGCTTCTGGGTATGAGTGACTGAGTATCTTAATACTCATCTCTCGCGTGTCATTTACATCCGAAGTGATGGTTTAGCGTTCTGGATACTACAGATAGTCAAAGGAAGCGAATTCCGATGGAGATAAGGGAGACTTGAAGGAACATTTCTGGCTTATTAGCCGTCATCAGCAAGCCATTACGAGTCCCTGGGCTCGAACCCGTGACCTGTTGGTTATAAGTCCAAAGTTCGATACACCGCCGAGGCATTTACATGGAACCCCAAGGCACGAGTAGTTATCATGATCAAACCGGTGAACACCTTTGGTAACGCAACCAACAGGAAAAAGGGGTCGTGACTTATTGGTAGAACGTTGAACTATTTTTAGGGTTCCAAACGGTGTTTGTACTCAGAGCCCTACAGTCCTCAGGTCTAGTTCCTTTTTGGAGCAAAAAGGAAAGGACATCAGTAGAAGGTAAGTATACAGTGACCAGGTCGATGAAACCCATACTATCATCATATTCCCGATCGCAACCGTCAAAAATAGCGGACCTCTGGCTCAGTAGTAGACTGTTACACTCAATGGCCACAGATTCCGGATGCAAATCTCGGATGATCCATACTTGAGGCTGGGTATGACGGGCTGAGGGCAGCTAATAATCCAGAAAAGGCCATTCCTGTCTCCTCTGTCTTTTTCTGCACTGTCATTCTGCCTATATACTACTAGTACTTGTGTGACTGTTTGCGAGGGCGTTACTTTGAACCCAAGGGCAAATGGAACGAGTAGATGCCATGATCACATCGGTGAACGCCCCTCCAACCACAACCGACAAGAAAACGGAGCCAGGACGTACTGGTAGAGCGTTTGACCACTTGTAGGGGGTCTATGAGGTGTTTTTACCCAGAGCACTACAACGATAAGGCCCAGTTTCCTTTTTGGAGAGATGTAACTGAGCGCTAAGATCACTTAAATATTGTATGTAGCTTCAGACCTCAGGTATGCTTGATCCGAGATTTGCATATGGGGCTGGTTGACTATGGAGCAAATAAGTCTGGAATGGTCATTTCAGTCTTCCGCCTTTTTACTGGCGATTCTTCCAGACTTTTACCTGAGCTGACACAAAATATCTAGATTCCCACAGTTTCACTGCAAAGCCCAGTGGACTAGCAGCTACTAAAGTAGCTTCTTAGACTGTGGCGACGAATGAGGAGGGAATAGCCAGTACTCTTGTGACGTAGCCAAAGTCCTCATTGTATGACCACATATTCTTGCACCGTCAGTCAGTTCAAGTTAGAAAGTCCAAAACCCTACTGTTTGGAGATTATATTTAGTGCAGTGAATGTAAGACGGAATATACTGGCAAGATACTCGAGGTGGCAATTCAGTCCTCTTTTTCCGCGCGGACCACTGCGCAAGAACTGGGAGGAGGCGGTGAGAAGCTCGCACAGAATTCATTCGAGACTGCGCTCCCAACCTACCAGGCTCCATGGTTGGTGGAAAAAAATCAAAGCAACGGGAAATTGAGTTGGCACTTTATGGGATTCGCCCAAACACTACCACCACCACGTCTCAGCATCCAGGCAAGTGCATTTAGAATAAACGCGCGCAGGTTTAATTAGAGGTTTGCTAACCACTATGAAGGCGGGTGAAT